ACCAGGAGATGGTGAGTCCTAGTCCCGCCTTAGGCACAAAAGCTGATCGAGTGACTTTGGGCCAATCACCAGGAGATGGTGAGTTCTAGTCCCGCCTTAGGCATGAAAGCCAACTGGCTGGCCTTGGGCCAGTCTCTCTTAGTGTAGCCACCCCATATCACAGGGTTGTTGTTGGGAAAATAAGAGGAGGAACTTGTGCTGGATATGTTTGCTGCCTTGAGAAATTTGTAAAAATGATAAAAGTGGGATACGACTAAATAAATATAAATATAAATGTTATGCAAAGGATTGGCTCTCTGGAAAAAAGCTGAATGCTGGGAAAGATGGCAGGAAAGAGAAGGAAAGGACAGCATGGAGGATGGAGCTCATCGTAGCAGTGATGGGGCATGGAGAGAACTTACAGCAGGTCCAACAATGATCAGGTGCACCCTGGGGTCTTCCCGATGCCACTCTGTCAAATGAACAGGAGAGAACGCTAGTTAGACCAGAGCTGGTATTCAGCCAGTTCTGACCAGTTCGGGAGAACCGGTAGCAGAAATTTTGAGTAGTTTGGAGAACCGGCTAATATCCCCTCTGACAGGCCCCTTCCCCATCTCTTCTCTGCCTCCCACTGAATCCCAGATGATCGGCTGGCTCTTCTTTGGTTGCCCTGCACAGGAGAATGGAACTGGAAAGCAGGTTAGTGGGGTGGGGAGGGAAGGGGGATTTTGCAGTATATCCTTCCCCTGCCACTTCCACCAAGCCACGCCCACCAAGCCATGCCCACAGAACCACTAGCAAAAAATTTTTGAATCCCGCCACTGAGTTAGACTAAAATTAATGTAAGATTAAAGCATGAATAACGCGGACTAAACAATAACTGGGTGTGTGTGTGTGGCTTGATGGTGCCGGGTGAAGCAGTTGCAAGTTGTTATTTTAGTCCAGCCGAGATGAGGAGATGCCTACAGAAACATTGGACCCAAATGGTGAACGATTATGTTCCCAAGAAGAAACATTTTTTTGAACATTTCAACCAGCTGCCGGTTATCTCTTAGCTTCCCCCAGCACCCCAAATTCGAGGAATTCCTCAACTAAATCTCCCATGACCAACCAGTTAAGAGTTATACCTACTTTGATTGGTAAACCATTTGCTACACCAACATAAGATCAATCTAAGTATGAAGAGCCCTGTTGGGTGTCTTAAGTGTTTGGTGTCCAGAGTCACTTGCTTAAGATGGACAGCTTGAGGAACTAATAAACGAAAGAATGAATCTGGAGAATTCAGATTTGTCTGGCGAGCAAATGGACCATACAACCAATGATATTAATTTTAATTGAATGTGATCCATTAAAGAGTTAGGCCAATGATGATGGTTGGTGCCCCGTCATCTCCTTGAGCTGTCCCTTCAACACAATGGCCAAATGTTCACTCTGTCTTATATAAAATCATTCATTAACCAAGAATCCTGTGTATTCTCAGTCCTCAAAGAAAAGTGGCTCAATTTATTTTTTAAAAATCAATCGATTAAATTTTATTTTGCTGCCCGGTTCACTGATACAGCAACTCTGAGAGGCTCTTAGCACCAAGTTCCATAGCACCAAGTGGGGCTGTAAAAAAGGTAAATTCACCTCCCCAACAAACACACACACACAAACACACACACACACAAATTAGAAAAATTTAGAAGTTAGAAAACTGAAACTCTGCTCAGATGGACACAACAGCCGTATCCATCACGTTCCAGGCCTCCCTGCCTCCTCAAATTATGCCTCCCAGTCATCCAAAAAGATGGGCATTTTGGGCGATGGGGTGTCATCCATGCCAAATGTATTATTAAGAAGTTGGATGGGAAAATGTTGACCTGAAAAAACATCCAGTAGATAAAGTGGATCTTTGACTTTCCTTACTCCACAGATCAACAGGAAGATGTATAGAGACTGGTCGTTCTGTGCAATCCCTGTAGAGAAAGGATGAATAAAAAAAATTTAAATTTCAAAGGATTAGAAGCTCTTGGAAAATGAAGAAGGCCAAGAACCCGTCAAATCAACACTCCAACCACCTGGGAATTTGCAAGTTGTGGATTCCAACCCAACACCCTTCCCTCTTTTAGGAGCCGTGGTGGCTCGATGGTTAGAATGCAGCATTGCAGGCTAATTCTGCCGGCTGCCAGCAGTTCAATTTTAATAGGCTCAAGGTTGACTCAGTCTTCCATCCTTCTGAAATCGGTAAAATGAGGATCCACGCTGAGGAAAAGAGACTGACTCTATAAACTGCTTAGAGAGGGCTGCAAAGTACTGTGAAGCAGTATATACGTCTAAGTGCTATTGCTCTTCCTTTTCTCTCTCCTTCCTTCCTTCCTTCCTTCCTTCCTTCCTTCCTTCCTTCCTTCCATCCATCCATCCATCCATCCATCCATCCATCCATGTTGGCGCAGTGGTTAGAATGCAGTATTGCAGACTAATTCTGTCCACTGCCAAGAGTTCGATTCTCACCAGCTCAAGATTGACTCAGCCTTCCATCCTTCCGAGGTGGGTAAAATGAGGACTAAGATTGTTGGGGGCAAGAGGCTGACTCTGTAAGCCACTTAGAGAGGGCTGTAAAAGCACTGTGAAGCAATATATATAAGGCTAAGTGCTATTGCTAAGTGCTATTAATCAACTGAAATTCGCTTTTTTATGTTCCCTCTCTCTTTCCATTGCTTTTCAAAACCATCTTTGGCTAGAATCCTAGGGCTGGAAGAAGACGACGTTGGAGGTCTTCTAGTCCAACCCAGGGCAGGAGCCCCTAGACCATTCATATCCTGGAGAACTGGTCCATCTTGGAAAAAAGGCTATGGACCTCCAGGTCATGGTTGTCTCAAAGGGGCTTTTTCAAGAGGCAACTGGATTTTCTGGCTTTATTCCTTGAAAGCATTCCACACCTTGGGGGACTGGGGGGGCTCCGACGGGGGGGGGGGAGCTTTTTGGATGAGAAGCAGAACTTTTTCAAGGAAAAAAAACCTTTCTTAGTCTATGGAGATTTTCAGTCATCCAGGTCATGGTTGTCCCAAAAGTGCTTTTTCAAAGAGATTCAACGAGGCACAGAAGCCAAGAAATTTTGCCACCTTTACAGAGGAAGCAAAAGTGTTTTAAAAAGCTAGGAGGAGGTTGATGCCTCTTCAAGATTGGAATGAGAAGAACAGAAATGGGTGTTGGGATTCCGGCCGTTACCCCCATTTCAATCGTGAGTCTCTACCCGGATTTTCAAATTTTAAAGAAGATTTATTAGGAGTAAACATACTGGTGCTGCCTGGGTGTAGCTGAGGACTCTGAGACACGTCATTCATTGTCACCCTTGACCCTGGTTTTCCCCCACCCCTCTGGGTGTATCATAATTCATATCCTCCAATGGGACACATCCATAGCCCAGAGTCATCAATCAGGCTCTCCAGTTAGAATTTTGCTCGGCAGAAACTTCGGTCACCTAGTTACTATCTTTGAAAACATTTGTGGAATGCAGTTTCGATTTGGTAAGCTGCTGCACTGCTGCCCCCTTTCTGTTGCCAGCTCTAAAAAGACCAGAGAAATATTTTATAAGTTGACATTGGGTTTTAACAGCTAAATGCAGGAATGGGATTTTTTTTTTTAGTCTCTTTCCTACAGAAGCATGGTGGCATCAGCAAGGGCAGAAGGACCAGCTCAGATTAACCAATTGAACCTGCCTCAAAGTCTAACCTGTCACCAGAATTTCTGCTGTACAGGGAGTCCTCGATTTACAACTGGTTCACTCAGCGACCATTTGGAGTTATGACCCACCTGGAAAAAGGGGGTTTATAAACCCAGATCTGAAGTTCCAGCAGTCCCTCCTCCCTTCCCTCCTCCCCATAGTCATGTGACCGCACTTCAGGTGCTCCATACAACCACACTTATGTCGATCTGGAGATTTCCCACGGTCACGTGACTGAAATTTGCCAAACGGTTTTGCCAAAACTTTTCAATTACTTCCAGTTTACCGCTCCCATACTCATCAATGGCTTCACACTTTCAACCACTGTGTTCGCTTAATGACGGAGACCAGAGGTGGTATTCAGCTGATTCTGACCGGTTCTGGAGAACCGGTAGTGGGAATTTTGAGTAGTTCAGAGAACTGGTCAATAGCACCTCTGACTGGCCCCGTCAACCCCATCTCTTCTCTGCCTCCCATTGAGTCCCAGCTAAACAGCTGGGTCTTCTTTGGTTGCCCTGCACAGGAGAATGGAGCTGGAAAGCAGGTTAGTGGGATGGGGAGGGAATGGGGATTTTGCAGTATCCTTCCCCTGCCACGCCCGCCAAACCACTCCCACCAAACCACGTCCACAGAACCGGTAGTAAAAAAAATTTGAATCCCACCACTGTGACACTGATAGGCACATTTACTTTATGACCGTTGCATTCACTTAATGACCACCACAAACAAAAAAAGGTCTTCAAAACATTGTCGATCATGCATTACGACTTGTTAACAATTTACAACCGTAGCAGCCAGGCTTAATACAGTTGTAATTTGAGGACTATAGAACACCTGAAGGTTACCAAACTGAGGCTGGCAAGTTCCAGCAGCTTTATGGATGTCTCCATCCAGAGTAAAAGAACTGAACTGGAAAAGAACTGAACTGGAAAAGATACGACCATCCTGCCTGTTTTTATCCTCTCTCTCTCTTTCTCCTTCTCTTTCTCTCTCTCTCTCCCTGCAGTGACCTTTTAAACAAGAAAAAAAAAGGAAAAATGGAAAAGCTTCGGTCGTAGTTTCCCCTGTCCACCACTTCATTTAAAAAAAAAAAAAACACCTCTGCAACCCCTTTCAAGATTGGCATAAAACAAGGGGGCTGATCAGTAACCTAAAACCAATGCCAATGCCATCTGTTTATCTGTCCTAAATATCACTGGGGGCAGGGCAGAGTCCAGGTTTGTAATATTGCTTTTATTAAAACCCAATCCGGAGAGAGAGAGAGAGAGAAAGAGAAAGAGGAGAGAGAGAGAGGGAGAGAGGAGAGAGAAAGAGGAGAGAAGGAGAAAGAGGAGAGAAAGAAAAAGAGGGCGAGAGAAAGAAAAATAAAGGAGAGAGGGTGGGAAAAAGGAGGCGGAGAGAGAGGGAGAGAGGAGAGAGAGAGGAAGAAACAGAAGGAAAGAGGAGAAAGAAAGGGGGGAGAGAGAAAGAAAAATAAAGGAGAGAGGGAGAGAGGAGAGAAGAGAAAGGAGAAAGAAAAGAGAAATAGGACAGAGGAGAAGGAAAGGGAGAAAGGAGAGAGGGAGAGGGAGAGGAGAGAAAGAGAAAGAGGAGAGGAAGAGAGAGAGGAGAGAAAGAGATTTGATATATATAAACGGTTCCGTTTTTCTGAAGAATTTGCAGCTGCCTCATTAAGCGTCAGTGGGAACCAGGCGACGCTAGAAAGCAGCAGACGTCAGAAGACGAGCGATAGAAAACGTGAAAAGGGGAAAAAAAGGAAGAAAAAAACCCCAGTCCAAATAGCTCAATTACCAAAAAGGAGCTGAAAAGAAAAGAAGGGTTGGGGGAGAACAAAACAAAACAAAACGAGATTCATAATCAAAATGTCCTTAGTGCTCCATAAAGCACGGAGCCATTTCTGCTCGATAGTAAAGAAGCCAAAATTACCCTTAATGCAATTTTAATATTCCACGGAGGTCTAAACCATTTCCAATTTTAACCTATGTTCTTCTTCCAATTTTAACCCTCTTTTTCTTCTTCTTCTTCTTCTATAGAGGTAACTTGTTCACTGTATTCACAGCAGTGAAAAGCTGCATTTAAAAAACAACAATGAGGAATTCTTTGCAGCGGGCTGACCTTTTCTTATTTTTTTTTTTACTTTGTCGTCCTTCACAAACGCACAGCAACACAACGCAACCTGTGAGTATTTTAAAGCTGCTCTGGTCCCCCCCCCACCCCTTCCTGTCTCTTGAAAGTATTCTCGGCAAATACAGGCGCTCCTTGACTTACGACCGCCATGGAGGCCCAACATTTCTGCTGCTAAAGGGAGACGTCTGTTAAGTGACATTTGCCCCATTTTATGATCTGTCTTGCCACCGTTGTTAAGCGAATCCCTGCAGAGCTGAAGTTGCTAACCCAGTCGTTAAGCGAATCTCTCTCTCTCTCTCTCTCTCTCACACACACACACACACTTGACTTTGCCTGTCAGAAGGTCACAAAAAGGGAATCTCGCGAACCCCGGGATGCTGCCAATCGTCATAACTAGGCGTCCCGTCGGTATTTCGATCACGTCGGGGGTTGGGATTCAAATTCTTTTAACAACTGGTTCTGTGGGCGTGGTTAGGTGGGCGTGGTCATGTGGCTGGGTGGGCATGGCTTCTTTTTTGGCAGCCCCTTTTGCCTCCTGGGCCTCAGGGGATCCTGGCACAGCTGGTCATCGGAACAGCTGATCGTCGGAGGGAGGGGAAAAAAAAGAAATATTTTAAGGAGTGACTGGGCAGGGGGAACACAGTCAGCGATGTCGGGCATGCACTTCGATGTGGCGCATGCGCGATAAGGACTGACTGGGCAAGGAGGGGAGGGGCTGGCGGAGAGGGGCGGGGCCATCCAGGGGCGCGATTGGCCGGTTCTCTGAACTGCATAGAATCATAACAACCGGTTCTATAAAACCGGTCCAAACCGGTCCAAACCGGTAGGGGGGGGAGGGAGGGAGGCCTGCAATGGTCGTAAGTGTGAAGAACGGTCACTAGACGAATTGTTGTAAGTCGAGGACAGCAGGGATAGGTGAACTGAGGGGGATCGATTTGAAGTGTTTTGCGTCTTCCCAAGGCGACAGGGTGGTAGAATCCGTGACGACAATTTCCATCAGCCTGACAGGGGAGGCCGGGAGCTGCAGCTGATTGACAGATCATGTTGTAGTGATGTTGGAGACCTTTTATCGGATTTCTCTTGATTACCGATTAACAGAGTTGGAAAGGAACCTATAGGTCATCTAGTCCACACACACACCTCCGCCCAAGCAGGAGACCCTACACCATTTCTGACCAATGGCAGTCCAGTCTCTTCTTGAAAACCTCCAGGGATGAAGCTCCCACAATTACCATTATGGTTTCCTGGGCATTTTTTCTTCTCTTTCCTTTCCTACTCCTTTCTTCTCCTTCCTCATTTATTTCTTTTCCTTTCCTTTTCCCATCCATTTAGCACCTCCCCTCTTCCTTCCCTCCCCTTTCCACCTTTCCCTTTTCTTCCCTTCCCTCTCATCCCATCCTCTTTTCTTTCCCTTCCCTTTTCCTTCCCTTTCCTTCTCTTCCCTTCCCTCCTTTCCATTCCTTTCCCCTTTCTCCCTCTCCTGCTCCCTCTCCTTCTCCCTCCCTTTCCCAGTTCTCCAAAAAGAAAGACATTTGTTCTCAGAAAGCCTTTTACTAGAAATTATGGGACATTTTATGCTTGTATGCATTTTTACCTGCCCTCTGCAGAAATCCAGCCCAGTTATGCCGCCTGTTTGGAAGGCTCACGATCCCTAGAAATGAGATGGGTCATGCATTCAATTTCCTTTCCAAAAGCAAGCCAGGGCAAGCTTCTCAGGAGGATGTTTTCATTTGGTCTTTTTTTTTTAATTGAAACATTTAAACAAGAAGATAAATATGAAGACAAACTAATAGAAAGTAAGGGGGGGGAGACTAAAGAAAAATAAATCAAATGTGTGTGCCAAACCTTTCAACAAGAGAATAAGAACCAAGACAAAATAATATAAGAGAGAGAAAAGAAAATGAAAGAACTCAAAGAAAAAGCCAAAAAGTACAAGCAAAAAAAAAGCAGGAAAGGAAGGAAGGAAGGAAGGAAGGAAGAAGGAAGGAAGGAAGGAAGGAAGGAAGGAAGGAAGGAAGGAAGGAAGGAAGGAAGGAAGGAAGGAAAGAAAAAGAAAGAAAGAAAGAAAGAAAGAAAGAAAGAAAGAAAGAAAGAAA